TCTAACACAATTCTAAAGATATGTAAGTTAAGAGTACGTTTGTTATATGGTTACACTATTAATTTATATAAAAAATTATAAAAATGAATTTTATTTTCAATACTAAATGTCACATAAGACAATTTAATTGAACAATTGATCAAGTTTAAATCAAATTTTATTTTTTTATATAAATTAATAATAAAAAAATATAAAAAATGCACCTTTAACCAACACCCTATAAAATTTTAATTGAAAAAAAGTTTATCTAACTTGTTCCTTTTGTCCAAGGATACAATAAATGCAAATGTTAATAGTGTATTTATTTCGTTTTTTACTATTAATTTATATAAAAAATTATTAAAGGAAAATTTATTTTCAACATTAATACCCATGGAATCTTTTAATTAGATGGGCAACAAAACTAAAATTAACTTTTTTTTCTTTTTCCATGTAAATTTATAGTGAAAAGGTGCAATAAATGCACTTTTAAGGGCATAAGTTAAAAAATTTCCTTTTCTAAATTAGTTGGTAGAGTCAAGAGATTTCAAATTACAAATCTTAAATTTGAATCTTAAGTCAAGTAAGGAGGAGTTTGAGAAAAAAGAAAAGTTATTTCCTAGATCTTGTATAGTAACATCATTAGGAAAAAAGAATAATAAAGTGAAATAAATACACTTTAACATGAGCAATAAGGACATAGGTTAAAAAAATCATTAATAATTAAATCTTTAATTTATGGTCTTTCTATCCATGCCCTTAGGGCATATATTAAGAGTGTAATTATTACATTTTTGGTAATTAATTTATATAAAAAATCTAAATATTGTCTTTAATTTATTTAATTGGTCAATTAAAACTTTTCATGTGACAATGATGTTCAAATAATGGTTAACTTTTGTGATTTTTCATGTAAATTAATTGTAAAGTAGTGTATTTATTGCAGCCTTAGGGCACATAATAGATAAATTTTTACTTTATTAAAAAAGTAAAAACTTAAAGTCACATAGGGTAATGTTATTGTCACATTCTTAAATACTAATATTACACATTTTTATTTTAATTGACTATTATACCTTTTAATTTATTAATAAACAAAAAATATAAATTTTTGAAAAAAAATATAAAATAAAGATATAATAAATAATTATGTTAAAGATATGTGACAATAACCCCACCCAATCACATGAGTGCTACTGATTTGTTAACTTCTTTATTTAGATGAGTGTTGAGTGCTAATGATTTATTAACTTCCTTATATAGATGAATTATGAATGTTTAGAGTACTTTAATTTCTTTTCAAAAAATTAATTGGAGTTCTTTATTATTAAGTAATTTTTACTAATTGTTATAGAAACAAAGTTTCAAAAAAGTTAGTATGGCAATGAAAGTTACTACATTTAGCCACTATTTTTTCTTTATTACAAAAGTAAAGTCGGCCATTAGGCTAAAATCAATGTAGTGATTTGTTCTTACTCAATTTCTTTATTATATATTTCCTCCAAGCTTGAAGGTTAGATTTATGTGTAAATAAGTGCTATTTTATAGTGCTTTAAAATTTGTTGTCAATATTTTTTTTTAAAGTCAATTTTCTTAAATATATTAAGTTGATATGGGAGTGCATCTTTAAAATATTCAAATGAGAGATTAGTTTCGAGATACATAAAAATTGACCCAAAAATACCTTGAATGAAAATACCAAAGTAAAAGAAAAAAAAAATGTATTTCCTCCGGTCTACTTTCTTATTTAGGGTATTTAATTTTTTTTTTAGATGAACAAGATATTTAAAGTTAGTTGTTCATTTTCTACTTTTAGATCTTGTTTAATACTTTTAATACATAGGTTTGTTCTTATTTTACCTAGTATATTAAAAAAAAAAAAGCACATTTATCTGGGTAGTGATTAATTAAAAATGAATATAAAATTTTATCGGTTAACTATTGAGTCTTTTATTTTATAATTTGATCAAATTATAAAATAAAAACCATTGGATGAAAGAAGGATCTTCAATATTAATAAATCTATTCCCATTTAATGGTTATAGTTGTGCAATCTAGTATAGTTTAAACTGTATCATTTTTTTTTTGTTAATTATTAATCTTTGTTTCATTGAAGGAAAAAACTAGAATAACTAAAGTAGAAATGGGGGAATGGTATTTTTTTTAATGGATTAAAAACTGGTAGACAATTTTAGTTTTTGAGTGTCTATTATAACTTCAATAAAAAGATAAAAATTATCATTTTATCTTAAATTGTACAATGAGAGGTTATTTTTTTATCTTTTAATTCATTCTACTTGCATGTTATTTAACTCAAATTGGAGATCTTTTACTTTCAATAAAAGAAAAATTATCACTAAATTATTTAAATTATTGGTTAAGGAAAAAATAAAAAATAAGGAAAGATTTTGATGATATGGGGCTAAAGGTGGAATAGAAATTTGGAGGGGTTTTTAGTGAGATATTGTTGTCAATCAGGTACCTTGGCTCACCGTTGATATATCATTATAGCTGCCCTGATACCAGCACGTAGGAATTTTGTGTGGAATGGGAAATGGAATCATAAAGCAATAGCTCTAGAATCTTGGAATCATGCGTGTGCCGCTATACAAAGGAGGTTTGGGCATAATTAAAGCACCTGCTTGTGTGGAACAAACTAGCCTCGAGGAAATATCCTTGCGCCATTAGTAGCAAACATCAATGTTCTTGGGTTTAATGGGTACATAGGGAACCTATTAGAAGGTGGAAATTTGTGGAAAGTAAGGATGCCTACAGACGGCCCTTGGTTGGACATGGAAACAACTTTTGAAGCTAAGGCTTCTTATCAAGGAGTAGGTTTGGGTACAGTTAAGGGACAGAATTCTACCACCGATTGGTTGGTGACAATATAGGATAAGTGACATGGTACAGTCTCCTGAGGATTTGTTGGCTTGGGGGCATGATGTAAAGGTCAGCTAGAGGTGGGTGGAACATAGGAATAGTATTGATTGGTGCATTCCTGATGGTTTCATCAGACAATATGAGTATAGCGCAACTGTTTAAAGGATATGCAGACCAGTTCGGTAGGTCCCTGCTAAAAATATTCAAGCAAAATAACATTCATTCACAATATTAAATTCAAACAACGTAATTTACAAGCACTTGGAACTTGGAAGTAATCAAACGCCAAATATGTCAGCAACAAGGTAATTTACAAGCACTTGGAACTTGGAAGTAATCAAACGCCAAATATGTCAGCAACAAGGTAATTTACAAGCACTTGGAACTTGGAAGTGATCAAATGCCGTCAGCCTATAACTAAAGGTAGGGGTTTTGCTTATCAGTAAAAAAAAAAAAAAAAACTAAATAATAAATAATAAAAAGAAAAGAAAAGAAAAGAAAAGAACCAGTTGTCAATACAGAAAGAATCCAGAACATTGCTGCGAGATGGGGGAAAAGGGGAAAAAAAGAGAGCCAGAGACAGATAAGAGCAGGCATCAACCAGATGAAAATTGAAACATATTGACAAAGACGGCTAGGAACATCATCTCTTCCCAGAGAGGCTAATCGAGCTAACTTTCATTGGGGTTGCCACCACTAATGGAGCTTCTGGCGAATCACTGACAGCAAACTTGTCATGCATGAAACGACTCTCCACAATAGATTCATCTTTCAGCACAATCTTGTAACAGTAACAACTTTTGAGGCCTTGCTGATTATGGTAGCATTCATGGGCACTGTTCTTCACTTGCTGGAAATCCCATATCACGCTGAATTTACCCACTGTTGCAACTAGGTGGCGCTCTTGTTTACCATTCTCAGTGACCTGAAGGACAATATTGAATGAGTCAGATTCATCTTGCAATGATATTCATCATGCATTGCTAGTCCCAAATATCAATTTAACAGCGTTAAGGAAATTCATCAAACTATCTAACATGACCTAACCCTGTTACAATTCTTGCAAAAGAAAATAACATAATTGCTTGTGCTTGCATGTGAGACTGAAAAGAAAATTCCAAAGAACCAAGATATGCCAATTCTTCTTGGATATAATGAAGGTATACAATTCCAATGCAGAAAGATGCAGTGAAAATAGCATAGCTTACATGTGGGACTTCCAAAACATAATCAAAGAACTATGATATGTGAAATAGAAATTTGGCAACATTATCTTTTAGAAAGACCAAAACAAAGATAAGGAACATGAAACTAGAACATGACAATTTCATTTCAATTTATTAATTATAAATGTACACTTAAAAATAATGGCCAAAAGACCACTTTCCCTATAGAAGCACAAAGTTATGCAGAAATACTGCATGCCACCAACACAGTTCCATTGGGATGATTTTGACTTCTAATCTTGTTTGATTAGTTTTAACTGTTTGCAAGTAATGAAGGGCCAACTACATTTTAGACCTCTCCCAATCCATTAGGTCCTACACTGCCTAAGCAAAGGACTGCTCATTTTGGGCAATAAAAAGATGATCACTTTCTTAGACAAATACAGCATAAGACATCACACCTAATAGATATTACTCCATTTAAAATCCATCACTAATACCAGAATATATAATTCTGCAACCAATGTTTTATTATTGAAACAAACAGCAACATACAATAAGACCGCAAGTGCAAAATATAGTCTTAAAAAGGTTTTGCAAACAACAGCATCTCTGATGCTACTTCCACCACACAAACCAGAAAAGTCTACTAGCTAATAAGTTTCATGAATTGTAGGGAAGAGCATGCAAAATGCATTCAACAAAAGTTGCCAGAACAACATAAAAGCATTTTTTTCCTGGTTATGAAAGAGGAGTGGGGTGTTTGACAGTGAAAAAGTATATCAGAAAAAAAAGCTGCAAAGAATACAGTGATAACTGCACTCAGAGCCTAGATACAGGACAGGACAGTGTTTGACAAGGAAATAATTTATGTTACATGAAATATGGTGATATAACATTTACGACAAATTTCTTCATGGAACTCCTATTTTGGAACTTCAAGATTGCTAAGAAACCACAAAGTAAGCATTATAAATCTGAACTATAAGCAATAAGTAAAATCTGATCTATAAGCATTAAGTGAGAGGCTATTCAATTCAGAAAAAGAAACATTGGTTAAACAAGCATTCCAGATATAAAGGGACAAGCAAAGTACAAAAAACTATCCAAAACAAGAACATCAATCAAGAGAACAATTAAGGCATGTGCTCATATAAAAGAGGACATAAGTGAGCTTACCCAGGAGAAATGGCCACCCTGGAATTTATTGTTGGCCCCAGCTAGATGTGAATCTAGAGGAGTCAACTTCAACAATCTTGGTGCTGGAATCTTATTCCCCATTCGACTGCTAAATCCAGTCTTCGTCTTTCCATCTTTATCCGTAAAGAGAGTGCAAATAAGGACCAGATAAGTATCAGTTGTGGCCAGCACCCATTTCCCATCATAAGTAACATCAACATGTGTAATGGGTGAACCAAGCCCAGGAAATGCAGTCTTGGCCTGCCTCATTGACGTCTTTGAGTACAACCTTATCTTCCCATCAATGGATCCAACCACAATCGATCCATCCCCAGTACTTGCAAAGCACTGGAAATTCGTCCCTCTAGAGAACTGATGCCCTTGTGTCCAATGCAGTACTGGAGAACTGCTAGTGGCAATCTTCTGCACCATCCCACTTCTATCCCTCATATCCCACTGACACAATCTATTATCATCCAATCCCAGAAAAGTAGATTCAGAGGGATCCAATTGCGAGCCCTTGGTATCATTCGTGATGTCCCTCATTGTAATATCAGTTCCATCCTTCTCAAATTTCCATTCAGTAACAATCTTCCCTGTCTCAATATCTAACTGCTTGAGCCCTGTGGCATGAGGCTTCCCTTCCTTTGCAGGACTCATAAGCATCATATTCGTCTCTGCTCTCATTAACAGAGCCTTTTTTGGGGTTGAATGCTCCAAATCCCCCCCACTCCTCAACCCCTCTTCGAATTTGACACAAATACCTTTCGCATGAATTCCACGGTTAAAATTTCTATAGACATGAACACCCAAATCATTCACCAAGAAACTATTATCCAACGCACCCAAAGCCAAACTCTGAACACCACCATTGGCAGCTTCCTCAAACTCCTCCAACAACTCCTGACTCCCTTTAACTGGAGTCTCCACGGGGCTCTTATCCTCAGCATCTTCCCACATCGAATCATCCGCCGCTTCTGGCTTAATCCACCCAATAAAATCCTTCCCATAAACCTTGACTTTGTTCTCCTCTGTAGCTTCAACCAAGTACACATTCTCAAACAGGCAATCCTGAAATTGCGTCACAAAGCTTCTATACTCCTCACCAGTGAAAAACTTCAATGCCCAAACACCTCTATCCACGAAATCGACTCTCCTCTGCTCTCCAAACATCTTCAATTGCATATCCATCGAAACCCTAGCCCTAACTTTCGATCCAACTTTCAAGACCCACCAGGAACCTCCCCCACCCGATCGCAATTCCTCATCGTCATCGTCGTCCTCATCCTCATCACCGCTGATTTTAGACGTCTTAACAAACGTATACGAAGTGAGTTTATCCGAAATAACCCATTTGGCTTTTGGGGTGTTGCCTCCTATATAAAGATAGAGCTTGACAGGGTTCTTGAGATTAGGTTGTTGAGATGGGTATTTGAGTTTCAGGGATTTGAGTTTGGCATCGATCTCATCAAGGCTTTTGTGGGTACCTGAAGAAGAAGAAGACGATTGAGGCTTCTGACGATCTCCGGATGCATCGTCGTACTGCTCCTCTTCCTCCTCTTCTTCATAATCTTCTTCAGATTCTGAGTCGGTGATTCGATCTTCGCGGCTCTGAGATGTGCCCATAATCGATCCCGGAAATCGCAGAAACGATGCGATTAATGAGAGCGAAAATTCGAAGCTTCAGAGATTACTGATGGATGGGAAAGTGCAGTGATATTGAGAAAAATGAATTGGATGAGGTTTTATATAAAGAAGAGACGGGTTGCCGGCTATCACCAGTTTTTTATTTTGTTTTGATTTAGGTAATTTCAATATTATATTGTTAATTTGCCATTTCCTCCCGAATTCCTGTTTTATTATGAAATATACCCTGAAGAAGATGAATCTTAGCCTTATTGTCCCACATCTCTACCTTGTTTTCTGTACAATTCCCTCTATTCCTAAATATTTGTTTTTTTTCTTTTTAAATTAAAAATTGAAGCATGTATTTAACTTGCTAATGCATGCTCCTCTCACACTAACCTTTATATAAAACGTCTCAAAGAAAAGATTCCAATAAAGTTATGAACTTTTATTTTTTTATTTAAGGATATAAGTTTTAAAAATTTTTAAAACAAATAATAATTTTTTTATTTAAAAATACAAACTTTATCTTATTTCGATTAAGATTACCATTTATCTATTTATCATCACTATTCGACAAATCATTAAATAAAAAATTATAAAATTTATGTCCTCATTTAAAATAATAAAACTTTACCACCCAATTTAAAAATTCAAAAAATTTATATCCTTAAAAAAAATTTGTGTCTCATTATGTATATCTTTTCTTAAACATGGGCCTAAAATCACAATGAACAAAATACAAGTGCCAATATTGAAATTCCCACTTTTCTTTCCCCAGGGGCTCCCGGCTATTGCCAGTTGGCGTTCATTTAACGGTACACGGCTTCCTTGCCTACGAAGCAAACGCTGCCGTACAAGTGTTGGATCCCGAAGTCAACGCTGCCGTACACGTGTTGGAGCATGGAGGAAGTGCGCATGTTAGTCCGCGTTTGGGTCGTGTTTAAAAATACACTTTCGGTCATTTCTCTCACTACCATTGCTATAAAAAAATCCAGCCACCATTTTTTTTTTTTTTTTTGATAATCGCAATGGTCAGGGAATTAGTATTGTTAAATGTTAACAACTGAGGATTCAATCTTCAAATCGGGTAAACAACCCACCGATCTCAATAAGGCGCCCGACCATCTAACAGCTTGGTGGAATTCATCTAGCCACCAATTATATAAGATTAAAAGAGGTCCCCCTGCCTCTAAGGGCTTCCGCTTTCTATTTAATGGTTAATATTTTATAATGGTATAATGCAAATTGTAAATCAATTTATAGGTTAACCAAACTTCATATATATCTAAATTATTGTAAGTTATACTAAAATATTATAAACCTTAGTATGACACACAACCCTTCTTCCAGGTTTGTTTGCAGCCCTAACAAACAATGTAGGTTAACATTGAAGAATTCTGACTCACAAACCCTTTTCCAGGTTTTTGCCTACGTCTTTGCCACAAAGATTTCCAACAAGGCTAGGTTTGTGTACCTACAAATACTTGGCTTTTCTTTTTCTCCCCAAGCTACATTTCTCATACAGAACTACGCTCCCAGCCACTAGGGGAGGATACTAGATTATAAGGTACTAACATTAACTAGAACATAATCTTCCCTCATAAAAACTCACAAGGCATCCCGTGCCGCAATCCGGCATGTTATAGCATCTGCAAGAGAGGATATCCCGAGCTCCACGCTGGATATTTTGTATTGCTGAAGAATATCATACAAGGATCATTAACAGCTAGAAGAGTTGTTGAAAAATGGAATTAGAATATTGAGGTGAATATGTTAATAAACCTTTTGTATCTGAGCTTGGTTCGCTCTCTGTTCCAACTCTTCCAGATCGATCTCTTTCCCATTAATAAGCTTCTCTACTGCTTTCATCTACAGAACACCAAGACATTATTAACACAGAGCAGCTATATGTCATCTGACACAAAGAATAAATAAGCTACTGCATAAAAAATATTCATGATGCGGTCTCACCTCATCAGGGTTAGCATTGAATCGAGCTGCAAGGATATAAGTTGTGCTATCAGAGATGCCACATTTTTTCAATGATTCAGTAATCTGTTAAATATTAAAGTTAAGGGTGATCAAATATTCAAACCCCAAACAAATTAAAATTTGTCAATGAATGTAACTGTGAAAGAAGAATACATGTTTAGATCCTGAGTAGTTGTAAACAAGTTCAGAATGAAGAGTGTGTGTTGTTAATGACTCCCGCGACTTGGCAACCAGTGTCTTATGTGCAGAAGCTAGAACAGGGAAAACATCTGGGATCTGTCTTCAACGTTATTTAACGGAAGGTTAGACAAATTATAACAAAGAGAAGCCCAATGAAAAGGGAAAAAAAAAGAATAAAAAAAAAAAGAGAAGAATTTGAATGGAAGTGAAATAAAGAATGATAGAAACATATAAGGAATCATACAAGTGAAGCATTAAGAAATGCAACTTCTGGTTCAAGTTTTCCAGCTTGCATAGAATCTAAGAGTTCCCTGCATGATGAAAAATAAATTAGTTCACAAGGAAACTCTACTTGTTCTATTAATGGAAGAAAATGCAAAGGCCGTTGGCCCAAAACTGAAAAACAATTAATTCCTTTCTCTTTGGAGCAGTTTGCATCATATTGGAAAGCAATAGCCATCACTAATACATCTGTACATGGAAATCTCTGTGAACAAAATCTCACCCTAGTTCCTTCCCTACAATTAAAGATGCCATTACTGCTAAAAGAGAAAGAAAATCATGACCTCAAAATCACACTCTCATCTCAAGTTCAATTCTGTCAGCAAATTTCTAACCACTCAAAGCATACTTTCCTCTGAATACAAGAAGTTAGATTTAATCTTTCTTTTGGTTTACTGTATGCTACTCATCAGTTATAATTAACACTTTGAAGCAGCAGCAATTCATAAACAGAAGGCTCCAATTGAAAAGTTCTAAAGGCAGTGAGAAACCATAATCATGCTAATCATCGGTAATAAACCCAATGGAATTAATTTCAAATACTGCCTTTGCAAGTTTCATGGTTGAAAAAGACCCTCACCCTAAGAAGACCAAGCATCACTAAAAAAGCTGGATACTGAAAAATTCAAACCCTTTGTTCAGGATAAAGCAGCCAAATTAATTGTACAACTGCCTCTCTAGACAAATAGGGTTTGTGAATGAAGAAATTAGAAGCAAAGATAAGAAGAGAAAAGGAAAAATAGGTTTTTGGAATGAAAAACCAGTGGCTTATTAACTAGTTAATAAAATATATGACTTGATTAAAATTAAAATGTTTTGGAATTTCAGAGTATCTAATTGACCCACAAATTACTTCCATCTCTCTGTTATAATTAAACTTCTCCGATTAAGAAATTAACAAATAATCAAATCTCAAGTTCTTATTCCAGTGGGTGTATGGGACCAAAAGACTCAATCTAATTATCCTGAAACTCTGATTCTGGGTAATCTTACAATCTGCTGAAGGAAATAGGCATAGCATTATTGAAACTCTAAACACCTCCATGAAAGAAAAGGCAGAGCCTTGAACTGGAATTGAGTGGAGAAACAAGAACAACTGCAATGAAGATGAATTTCATGCTTTCCCAAAGAAGAATCTTAAAAAAAGAGAAAAAAGAGAGAGGAAAACCACAGAGTAATCTTTGTTTTGGCACAGAAGAAATGAAATATATAGGCAAAGTAAATATCTAAATTGGCATGGAGTATATAGAGTAAAGAGCATTTTTGTCGAGGGGAAAAGAGAGTACTTGGAGTTGGTGACATCGGAGAAGAGGGCAAGAGAGAGGGTGCTTCCATTGTTGACGTTGAAGACTTTCATGGCTGCTTCTGGTCTCCCGAAAAAGGAGGACAGTTTCAGAACTGAGCTAGGGTTTTAGAAAAAATAAATAAATAAGGGAAAACCAAAGGTCTCGGAGGAGAAAAAAAGGAAGCGCGCCAGGTAGGGGTCGAACCTACGACTTTCTGCTTAGGAAACAGACGCTCTATCCACTGAGCTACAGGCGCTTTTGTTGGTTAGCCCTCTCGTCAGAAAATAAACAAATTAAAAAGATTCTCTCTTTGTTCCAATAAGCACCACACATTTACTTAGCTATTTCCAATTTCCTTTTTTTTCTTAATAAAAAAGGGGGAAAAAATATCTATATAATATAATTAGGAAAAAAATCTTTGTTCAATAGTAACCAAAGAGATTTGAAGTACTCAAATCCAAAACTGAATATTGTTTAAAAAAAAAAAAATCAATTAGTTCATTCTTAAAAATCACTTCAACCATTCAGTAATGGTAGTTCTGGTAGTGTTTTTTTTTTTTTACTATGTTAATAGTTATAGTTTGACTTTCTAACTTTCAACATAAAAAATTTAGGTGATAATTTAACATGTAGCAAATGAATGTCATTTGATAATTCTTTTACTATATGTGGGCCTTCTTTTTTTTTGGGGTGGCCGAATGCTATATGTGGTTTTTGTTTAGTAGTTTTGGTTAAAGGTTATACGTGGATTTTATTTAGTAGTTTTACTTTATAAAAAAAAATAATTGTCATATTTATATGTTATGTTAAATTTTCATTTAAACTTTTATTTTAAAAATAAATAAAAGCAAATATTTCCATATTATTAAGTCCTATGTAATTAATTATTATAAATATAACAAATTAAAATAATCAACTATATATGACCTTACATCAAAAAGGGAAAAAAAAAAAAGGACCTGGTCAATCTTGTTTATGCATGGATTCTACATTGCATTTCTATCTTCTTTCCTGACCGTTGACGTGTCCTATGTCCATCCTTCTAGGACACCTGCGCCAGTACCCCCAAGGCCCTCCCAACCATTCTTCCCCATCTCCCCTTGAAAACAAAACTTCCCATTTCCTTTCTCTCCGGTTAACTCCCCTCCAGGGCGATGTCTCTCTCCGTCTTCCTCCTATGGCTCGTCATCATTCCTTTCTCCGTCTGCTCTGCCTCTGCTCCTAAAGGTAACATATATTATTTCTTCAATATCTTTATCTTTTTCATAAGCATTAATTTCCTCAAGATTCTGCCTGGTATTTCAAGGAAGATGGTATTTTTTGGTAGCCCAAATGTAAATTAAATTGTTAGGAAAAATAGAAAAGAAGGATGTGAGAATTATTCTGGGCGGTGAAACAAATCACTACTTTAGAATTTCAAAAGGCAATCAGAATAAATACAATTTTTAGAACTAAATTCTCTCAAATACAGACGTGAAAGAATGATTGATTGAATGAATGAATAATTAAATTGAGGAGTCTTGAGGCTTTCTCCTTTCATTAAGCCGTAAGGTTGCTTCACCAAAAGACACCTTCCTGTTTTGAACTTATAAACTCCTTTCCATGCATTTTGATGTTCATCAATCGATCAGTACTACCTTCTGAATTAATTTGCATGCTTTTGCCAAACTATTTCATACATGCACAAAGGCACCTTTTCAATTTTGAATGTCTTATTTAGAGGCATTATCCCTTTTCTTCTCAGTTGTATGCATGTCCAAATGTGTCTGGATCGTGATTTGATCAAACACTACATTTCATTATCGAAAACACCTTTGATTAAATGCACATAGTATATGATCTCTTTTTGGTATATTAGAAATTATTTGATATTATAGAGGTTTTATATATTTGACCTTGATATCAATTCAAAGTTTTTGAATTAACAAGTGCCTACAGTGATCATATTTTCTTTTATTTTAATCAAAGTGTGTTTTCAATTTTAAGCTGAATCTATACACATAATTTGTATATTTTAAGTTAAAAAAAAATTATCATTCAAGTCAGTACTTCTAAAATTCAAATATTAAGTAGGGAAATAATAGTTATTATAAATTTAAGATATTAATATTTATTAGTTGAATTTCTAACGAATTAACATGAAAAACAATCAAAATTATAAGTCTTTTTCTTATTTTGTAAATGTATTATTTTAATATTTTTAACTTGTACATAATTTTAAAACATTTTTCCTTCTAAATCTTTTATTCTAAATTTCAAATATTTTTATAATTTTGAAATAATAAAAAAACTAGAAAAAACGAAGTTAATGCATATAGAAAAGTGACTTTAGCCAAAAAAGAGGAAGGTGAAGAAGAAGCAGAAGATTAGTTTGGAAGTGAGGGTAAAGTGACTCCGAACACCTAAAAGAAACCGGCCCTGATATCGACTGCAGAAACAACTTTCCGCTATGCAGAATTGCAAACCCCCATTAATTCTTACCTGAATATTTGATCATCTTTCCGTAGGCTATTTCATAAACTGCGGTTCCTCCGGTTCGCAGACCGTCGGCAACCTCAGTTACATAGGAGACGATAGCTTCATTTCCACTGGAAGCCAATTCTCTTTCAATAAATCCGATTTAGTGCCCATATTGAACACGTTGAGGTACTTTCCCGATGAATCGGCGAGGAAATTCTGCTACGTAGTTCCGGTGATCAAGGGTGCGAAGTACTTGGTAAAAACCACGTACTATTACGGAGGGTTCGACGGAGGGAAGGAACCGCCGGTGTTCGATCAGATTATCGGTGGGACGAAATGGAGTCTCGTCAATACGACGGAGGATTACGCCAATGGAATGAGTTCGTATTACGAGATTATCGTGGCCGCCTCCGGGAAAACACTAAGCGTTTGCCTCGCGAGAAACGCGCAGACGGCTTCCAGTCCGTTTATCTCTTCTCTCGAAGTGGAATTGCTTGATGATTCCGTTTATAATTCCACTGATTTTGAAAAATACGCACTCAGTACTGTTGCGAGGAATTTCTTTGGAGGGGATGGGGCCATGATCAGGTAAAGAAAATTTCCAATTTTTACGAATTCATGGGATTCTAAATTGGAAGAATTCTGATGGGAAAATTATGGGTTTTGATTGAACGTAGCTTTCCAGATGATCCATACAATCGATTGTGGCAGCCATTCAAGGATCAGAATCCGGTTGTTGTGGGTCGTTCGAATGTTACCCCTTCTGATTTCTGGAATAATCCACCGGTTAAAGCGTTCGGAAATGCAATTACGACGAGCAGAGGGAAGACGCTGCAAATACAGTGGCTGCTGTTTACACTTCCGGCAACCAAGTACTACATTGCATTGTATTTCCAAGATAATCGAGCCTCGAGTCCTTATAGTTGGAGAGTCTTCAGTGTTTCAGTGAATGGCAAGAGCTTCTACAACAGTCTCAATGTCACAACTTCTGGTGTTACCGTTTCAGGAGTATGGCCTCTATCTGGACAGGTTCAGATCACCTTAACTCCTGATGCAAATAGTCCGGTTGGACCCGTGATCAATGCTGGGGAGATACTGCAGCTTATTCCTCTTGGTGGAAGGACTGTTACTAGAGATGGTATGTTTTCCCCCTTTTGGTTTCATTTTTGTTGACAATTTAATTATAAGTATAAATCTAACAGAGTATCGATTCTATGCAATGATGGTTGATTATCCTCTTTTCATGTCATTTATGTTGGCAATTTATAACCGAGTCTAGTAGAGTATCGAATTCTTGACTGGTTTTGAATTATTAACTTGTGCATTGCATTTTGCAATGATGGTAGATTTCCCCCCGTTTTTGGTTTCATTTCAGTTGTCAATTTATAACTATAATGGAAAATCAAATTCTTGACTGGTTTTGATTGATAATTTGTGCATTTGGGAAATTTTGCAGTGATGGTAATGGAAGAATTAGTAAGAAGTTTTAACAACACGCCATTGGATTGGATAGGGGATCCATGCCGGCCTGTTGAGAACTCATGGACAGGAGTTTCATGCTCCAATGACAATTTTGCCAGGGTCATCTCTTTGTAAGTTCACCTGAAGAAAAAAAATGTTCACTTGAAGCAAACCTTTAGGCTTTAAGCATAGACAATGCAATTCTATGGAAAGGGACATGGACGTTCATAAGATGTTGAATAATTCTAGTTTTCTAACACAATCTGGATTTGTAGAGCACAATGCCAAGATTCAAAGAATAATTTGTGTTTTCTTAAATGATGTGAAGGAATCTTACAAATGTTGGGCTGACTGGCTCTCTCCCTTCTATCATAAACCGTTTAACTGCACTCCATCATCTGTAAGTAAGCTAGTTTCTATGGGCTTGCTATGGCAGACACGATGAAAGTTACTGATTGTTAAAATCTGCTTGCAGTTGGCTAAGTGGAAATCAACTATCAGGTTCGATTCCTGACATGGGTTTGTTGAGCAAGCTTGAAACTCTGTATGTAGTCTCTCTAAAGTGTTCTATTTTGTTAGATTTTATTTCTTTCTGATTTCCTTGAATTTATTGCACTATCTTGATCTGATTGTCGTTATAATCTAATGAAGGCATCTGGAGAACAACCAGTTCACAGGACCAATTCCCAACTCTTTAGGAAATCTTGTGAATCTTCGTGAGATGTATGTTCCTGGTAGAAAAAATGTACTACAATAATTTCTTTTAACTTGAAAGAGCATCTAACATAGTTGTTTTGACAACTTGCTTATGTGAACAGATTTCTTCAGAACAACAATCTTGATGGCCCAATTCCTGAGGCACTACAGGAAAGGAGTGGCATAAATATACAGTAAGAGAAATGCCTAATCCCTTTTCCAATATACTCCTACTTGATCATTTTCAAATGTATCTTTTTGACCTGAATTAACAGTTAGTTTGGGGCATATAGCAGAAACTTTATTTTGGTTTTCTACAGCTTCTTGAAAAGCTTTTTATTGACTCAATGAATTGACTATGTTTCTGCTTCAGGGTGTCTCCCGGAAATCATCTGTCGGCATAATACGAAGGATGAGAGAGAGTAATTTAAAACTACTAACATCGCATTACAATTACGCAACTCTAGCGTCAATTCCATGTTTGCTAAACCAGAAATGACTTCAGGAAATACTGTATGAAACATTTGTACACAGCTAACGTATTTTCATTGCTCATTAAAAACTGTTGACTTCTATTTACAAAGATATATGTTCCTCTTGGTTAGCGAAGACCAATGTTAAGGTTTTTCACTTAGTACTCCTTAATTATAAAATTTTGATTCGGGATTAAAAGGTTAAATATTTAAATTTTTACACTGCAAAGTGAATCAAATTAACAAATTTTTTACGAAACGAATGTAATGCAAAACTGTTTTTTTCAATTTGAACATTACTATCTAGTACCATTAAAATGAATTTTCTTTTTATTTTTAAAATATATTGTGAGCACTCAGAGCTTTTGATTGGTATTTCTCCCATTTTTACTGTCCAAACTGAAAAATGGGAGTCCGGAACAAGTCGATGACTTGTGTTTTAAGCCGGAATAAAGCTCACTGATGCTATCTTCAAAGTGGCAAGATGTGGGCTCAGCCCAAATTCTCTATGGAAAATCTACAACCAGACCGAAGCATCGGTCCGGTCACCAGCAACATTGAACAGAAGGGAGCATCCTCGTAGTCTCCGACTCTCCGTTCCGACAGCTCGCCGTTGTGCATTAGATTCCACACTGAAGCTACAATCTTTACACAATTCAATAGCGAAATTAGCGTAATTTCTTCTACCCTTTTGGTTTTCTTCCAAAATGTTACCTATAAGCCTTAGCCTCTTACACTTGAGGCCCTCCCCATTCTTCCGTCTCCCTTCCACCTCCCTCCGCTGCTGCGCCACCGGCGACATTTCCTCCAGTCCTATTTTTCCCAGGTGGTTCCAGTTCCCAACCAGCTCTGAGGTTTCTGGAGGTCTCCGAACAGGGAAGGAGTATTCGGAGACTGCCGCCGGCAACTGCGGTGGCAACGTGAAGGTGAAGAAGTGGTTGAGAAACAGAGAGAATTATTTGGCTGATGATAGTGATGCCCTTCCCCTCCCCATGACTCATCCTGACTCCTCTCCCGTTTCTCCGGAGGAAATTGACAAGCGCCTGCAGTGTGATCCCCAAGTTCAGGTCCCATTTTCTGCTTCTGATTTCCTTTTCATGAAAATGAATTATTTGAGTGGCTAACTCTATAGAAAAATGGGAAAAAGTGGGGTTCTTTCTTGGAAAACTTTTCCCAGAAACATCATTCGGTAGGACCCTACTGGATAATGAGTCAAAATATTTCATTAGCAAGTCATGTACTGGGTACTGGGAAGGATCCTACCTTCAAGTTCAAAACTTTTTAAAATTGTATCGAACTACTGTATTTTGAGGAAAAAATTGGATGAGAGTCATTTCAATTGGTGGTAGTTCTGTATCTAAATAATGGCTGCAGGTTGGTTGAAACTTAAAAGGCCTCAAGTTTAACCAGCTCTAGACCTACCACAATTTTAGTTGGCAATGTAAAGCTACTGCTGAGTGCTAAGGGCTGGCATCAAGTTCAGTCTAGTTGTGCCATATCTCAGTCGAACCCAAGTTCAATGCACTGAGTATTGGTTTTTGAGATCGTTTTATACTTCCTGCTTTTCTGTTTGTCACTTTTATGACCGCTAGATGTTTTCCTAATGGAAGTTGAGTACTGATTGATTTCTCAATTGTAGGAATGTAAGGAAGTGGTTTATGAATGGACTGGACAATGCCAAAGTTGCCATGGTTCTGGATATGTAAGCTATTACAATAAAAGAGGGGAAGAGATGATCTGCAAATGTATAGCTTGCGTTGGAGTAGGTAATTCTTCTTTCACTAGTCCAACACAAAATTTGAAATTGATTAAATAGTAAAAGAAAGAGAGACTATATTTAAATAGTTTTGAGCTTAGTTGATCAAGCTGTTATTTGGTTACAAAATGTTAAGTTCTGTATTTTATCTGGAAAAGTGAGAAGCACATGCCATTTACATTTATGCAAACCAATGCCCCTATTAGACCTATTTGGCATGTGATATGAGCATATAAGAGTCATCAACTTTGTTCCGGCCTCAAGGGCACTCTTCATGCTTGTCTTAAAAATTGCTTTCGCCTTTCCTACCTTATTTTGTGTAAAATAAGAGTTGAAAATGATGGAGATACTTGTTTATGATTTTTGAGTGAAAAAGAAAAGAAATATGCTGAAAGAAGATATTCCTATTTCATTTGAATATCTTGATTCTTAACTTGAAGGTCTGTCACATGTGGGTCAACCCTTCTGCACATATGATTCAAGATTTGTAGAGCTGAAACATTTAGCATGTATATATTGTATGTATTTGTTTTCCTGTTAAACTCACCATAATATGATGGCCCAAAAAAAACTATGGTAGTAAATGGGCGTTATCCTTTTTATTAGCAACAATTATTCACATTCCTAGGCTATAGTCTTATATTACTATAAAGCATTCGTCTCATACTTAAGAGGGGAGTGCACTTATCTATAATTTCCAATGTGCTAAACCCTCTTCTATGTAATTAAATAATTAATATTTTTGACCTAAACTAGCTTCGAGGATAAATTTGATTTAGAGTGGCATATATTCTTTTAGTCAAGTATGCTTGTGAAAGTTAATAACCTTTTTTCTCCCAGAAGCTACCTTTTAGCTTTGAGGGGAGATTATGTTAATATATTTAATTTCTTTTGATTATTTTTTGGGATAACATGGGTATTAGGGCCTTTGCCCTGACTACTCCCATGAGCACAGGAAACTCCTCCAGTCCACAGGTACCTGGCAAAGCTCCAGCCAAAAGGGTGGTAGGTCTAGCGTGTTGAATTTTTATTTATTTTTTTACCCCAAAGTGGCAATGAAGGTATTCAAACCCTTGTTCACAACATGGTTCACATCACTCCTTAGAATTCCATTCCTTTTAATTTTACTTTATACATATCACTTTTGAGAATTTTTTGGGACATTGAGATTTTCTAGAGGAATATCAAGCCTGCCTGCTTCCTCTTACTCTGTTCTTTTAATCTTTCTTTATACTTTCCTTAAAAAACTGCAAAATTTAATTGTCAAGCTCTAGTCTCCTGAGATAGTTTTCAGAAAGATCTTCAACTTATTTCTCAATCAACAGCTTACATAATAATCAATATATTTGAAGATTATATGCAAACCAAATGCATTTCTTCTTGGTAATTGTTGATTTGACAAGCATTACAGTATGCAGTCCATGAGTGGCACATTTAACTGCTATTCAGTGGGTATACAAACTTCAGTACTAAAGTTACCACATCATGAATGTGTGTATTTTGGCTGGACATGAATGGTTCAAATATAAAGCTAGATTTTAATTTTGAATCTTTAGAACTCAGGTTGTCAGGTATTAAAAGTTGGTTTAAGGAAGCCTATGTTTGTGTGAGCTTGTCATAATGCTGAAATTGGAATTTAATGCTCGGGAATGTTATAGATAATAGATATTTTCGATGCACTAAACTAGTAGTGTAGGGAGATACTGGCGTGTCCATGTGCAATTAATTCTCATAAATGTTTTAGTCACACTTATGCCAAAATGGACTGAGAATTTTTAAATTGAAAGTTACTGCACAGATAGGATTTCCAAATTTGTGTGGAGGTTATGTTGCTGCAGCATTTCCTAAGGGTCCAAGGTCAACTTGGGCAAGTTTTTGGATAGGAATCCCACTACCTCTGTTTCAAGGAAACATCATTGCATGTCTGAGGATAAGATTTGTGCTATGTCAGATAGCCTAGCTGGAATGTTAGGTTGTGGATGATGATGAATGTATTAAGGGAATAATAAAGATACCTTGAGCAGTTACTATTGCCTTAAGGTGACTCACATCCCTACTGTAGCTCTTTTAAATCCCTCAATGGAGAGGTAAAGCTGTCTTTTTTAACAAATGGATTCTCTTTCATTGTATAGAAGCATTAATCTTGATAACTGATTTGTTGAGTTATGCTTTTATTGAGAACACGTCCAACTTGAGTTGAGATGCTCATCATAAATAAATCTAAATCCTGTGCTCATTTTATATGATTATAGTACTAAGCTGATGCATCTTGAATAAGTTCTTTTATTGCTAGTTACGTGAATATGGATGGAATTTTTTGAGCTTTTTCTTCTGTCCTTTGGAGGATATAGTTAATATATTTTACTGATAATGTAGAAATTGCTGATAGTTTCTTCACCATAGGATTATTATTCATTTACTTTCTAGATTTGAGCATTTTGTCTTGCTTTGAATTTGTACCTAAGGAACAGATGCTCTTATCCGTTGAAAGTTGACTTGTTTATTCCCATTGTCAAAATATCTATCATAACTTCTTCTTCTTTTTTAAAATTTTTTTGGGTACATTGGAGGATTAGCTGCTTGGCATCACAGAGATTTGAACTTCGAACCTTAACCCCAAATCAAGGTTTTTAAATTAATGAACACCAACTTGGCCAAGTTCTTGTTGGTTTTTTGCCTGTCTTCTTGTGGTTCTGAATGCAGACAATAGTAAAGGACAATTCTGGATAATGGATTATGATAACTTTATTAGAATTGTATGCTAACTAATCAAATCATATTTGCATCCTGATTTGGCGAGTCTTGGACATAATATCATCTTTATTGCAGGATATGTGCATAAGATAACAGCTCGTAAGGACATTGAAGTAATGGAGGATTTGGATAATGGAAAACCACCGTGATAACAAGAATGTCTTTGCTGAATGGTATTCTTTTCACCTTATATATGCTATTTTTTGTGTGATAATGCCTTAATATGCTGAAAAGTTAAAAGGCAGCCTCTCCTAGAAGAGCTTATGGCTAAACAAATGCCAAGGAATTAATTGTAACTTTTGCAAGGAATGTATTCCTGGTTTTCTTCTCATGATCATATCTTCATTCTTATCTTGTTACTTAGGAATCTTCTTGTTGAATATATGCTTTCCAGTTGTTGGGGAATAGAAGGTAGAGGAACCCTAAATCTGCTTTGTCCCTTGTCCTAATCAGCATATAAAGTTTGAAGGCATCTAATTTGCATTGTTTTAACATTTTCAATTTAGATTTTGCTCTCTTCCTCCGGAATACCTGTTAGCCATGGCAAATGTCAGTTTTCTTGAATTCCAGTACAAGCTCTCGAAATGCAGGATGTTGCGAAAGCCATCTCGCTTATTCTCCCGTGACAGACAGAATTCTGGCTTGTTAACTTCCTTCCAGCCAGATTTGAGAGAGTTGAGGCATGTTTTTGATAAATTTGATGCCAACAAAGACGGCAAGATTTCTCAGATGGAGTACAAGGCTGTATTGAGAGCTTTGGGGCAGGGAAACATGATTGCAGATGTGCCGAAGATTTTCCAGGTGGTTGATCTGGATGGAGATGGGTTTATTGACTTCAAAGAGTTTGTGGAAGTGCACAAGCAGAGTGGAGGGGTTAAGGCAATGGACATAAATAGTGCTTTTTGTACGTTTGATCTGAACCGGGATGGGAAGATAAGCGCAGAGGAGGTTATGCAAGTGTTAAGGGGGCTGGGAGAGCAATGCAACCTTGAGGATTGCCGGAGAATGGTGAGAGCAGTAGACACTGATGGGGATGGCATGGTTGACATGGAAGAATTCATGAGCATGATGACTCAAACCATGAAGCGAGGTTGAAGGGTTTCCTGTATTTCTGTAATATGATGTGGCAACTAGCGTGTAATGAACTTTTCATGCACGGTTGGGTAGCACAATCGCAAGTTTGAAAGGGTGTATTATATTTTGCATATGAAAGGAAAGTAAGGTCTCTTAATATGGTTTTAGCTGTTTTTTCTTTTAGAAAATTTTTAATTTTTAGTTTTAGCGTTGTTGATAATTGTAATTATTATCGTTAATTGATAGATAAAAGAACAATTAAATTTTAAGGGTGTTTGTTTTAATTTTATGTAAATGGTTATTAATTATTGGTTCTAATTAAATAAATTGAATATTTTGAATTATAAATAGTAATAATTTTTAATTATTAAATATCTACTATTAGTTATCAATTGAATAAAAAGAATTAATTCAAATAACTTATTATTTATGACGGTGAAATCAGTTAGTGGATGTCTTTAAATACCACAACTATTTAAGAAAAAAAATTTTAATTTCAATGTGAATTTTGTATGTTATAGACTTGACAAATGAGTCAGATTAAATAAGTGTGAATTGAGTTATTTAATTCTAAAGTTTGAATAAGTGTGAATTGAGTCATTTAATTTTAAAGTTTATTTAGTGGAGTAATTTTGAGTTTTGAGTCAAAAAGTGTAAATTTATGATTCATATACACAAATCTTAGGTTGAATCGGATTAGATGGATTTAGATTCGGCTACTTAAAAAAATAAAAATAAAAATAAAAATTTTCAATATTTTCTCTATTTTTTCTTTTTTGTTTTTAAATCTAATATTAAGTAATTATTTAATAAAAATATTAAATTAATATTAAATCTAATAATCTAATATTAATAAAAAAAGTATTTTTCAAGTCAATCTGTACGAAAATAGTATAAAAATATTTTAAAATTTATTTAAATACTCATAATAATTGTTATTTTATATTAATTTATTAAAATATTTAATTGATTTTATAAGTCTTTCCCCTCCCTTGAGTAGGCCCAAAATAAAAGGTTATATTTCACCCAAAAAAATAAAAATAAAAAGTTATAAAATCATACTTCCTTTTGTTTAAAGTTGGAGGCCGACCTATCTTTGATATGAAGTCCAAATGGGCTGGGTAGTGGGATTAACTTAAGGACTTTGATACGTATTTCAGGCGGCTGGCCCAAAATCTCCGTGAAAGGAAAAACGCGTCTTTTTTTTTTGCCCTTTTTCGGCCGTCATATATTTTAGGTATCTTAAAATTAATTTTTTTAATTTAATTAAAAATAAATTACTTATATTAAAATTAAAAAATTTATAAAAATTATTGATTTATTGACCTCTCAAAAAATTAAACATTGATTAATAAGGTGAGAAACAAACCTTCTTCTTAATTCATCTACAACTCTTGAAAGTAAAAAATTAGATAAAACTTTCAAATTCATCCTTCAAATAGTATGAATGGATTTATCCCTAAAAAAAGTGTAAACAAATTGTTTTTTTAAATTATTGAATAAGATAAATCACCCTTACTTAACATGTGGCATTATCACATATTAAAAATTTATTTAGCACTTAAGCATGTTTCTAGTTAATGTATAATGTAGGTCACATATTTAATAATAAATGATTTATTTTGATTAATAATTTGAAGAGTTGATTTGTTTTTATCTTTTTAGGGATGATCCTATCCATACTCTCCTATTTGAAAAATCAAATTTGAGGGTTTGGCAAAAAATTCTTTTAATTATGAAAAAATCCTGTGAAAATTGCTTAATCGTTATGGGCAGGCCATAGACTTAAGATATTAATATGAAATTTAATATAATTTCAACTAAAATTATACAATTTTGAATGAGTTGGATTGGATCATGATCGATTGGGTCAACATAAAATAACTCAACTAAAATTAATTAATTTTTTTAAAATTAAAATTTTGGTTAATTATATTTTAAATTTTAGTTTTTAATTAAGTACAAAATAAAATTAAATATTATAAAATGATTGTTATTTATTATGTTATTAGAATCAGTATTAAATTAACATTTTTATTAAATAATTAATTAATATTATATTTTAATATTGATTTTAATATTAATATTTAAAATTTTAAATTTAAATTTTAAGTTTTTAAAAAAATTAAGTCCAGACACATTAATGCGACCTCCTATAAATAAGTGATGAGTCTGTTTTTAATTTTTTTTAACCCAAAATCCGAGCCACCAATGCAACTCGTTTGCCACGTCTAATTGTGAACGTTCTTCCCTTTTTCCAACGGCCGGAGTTCTCCGATCGAATTCTCCGGCGACTTCTTCAAAAATGGGTATGAGAAAGATGCTGCCTTCTCCTCCAGCTTCCTTCGCCAAAGCATTATCTTCATCTTCTGCTTCACAACAATCTGCTCTCACGACTCGTAACCTCTTTGCTTCCTCTATTCATGCCAGTACACCTGCTACTTCCAATTCTAAATCTTTTGTTCCAAACCCACATTTCCTACACCAATTTCTCACCAAACAATGCAAGTTTGGCGCCATCACTCTACATAAAGTGCTGCAGTTCTTCGATTAAATGATCCACATACACCCCACTTCTCCCATTTCAGCATTCAATCATTTGTTAGGTGCCCTTGCTGAGATTAACCACCATCACCATGTCGTTTCGTGTTACACAAGGTTGAATTCAATTGCCTTATTGCCTGATCTTATGACTTTCAATATCTTGCTTAATTGCTGCTGCTATATGGGTCGGATTTGCAATGGCTTTTCGGTTTTGGGAAAGATTTTGAGGGAAGGTTGTAACCCCAATGCTTTCACTTTCGACACTTTAATTAGGGGGTTGTGTGTGAAACAGAAGATTGGTAAAGCAACTGGGTTGTTTAGAAAGAAGACTGTTTGGCTGTCAACCTGATGTAATTACTTATGGCACCATTATTAATGGCCTCTGTAAGCATGGAATGGTAGAAAAGGAGAAACAACTTTTCTCCGAAATGAAAGATGGAGGAATTTCTCCTAACGTGATTATTTATAGCTCCCTGTTTTATGGTTTACGTTGTATGGGGAATTTGGATGAGGCTAAAGGCTTATTCGTTAAGATGCTGGATTTTGGTAACTTTCAATGTTTTGACAGATGTCCTTTGCGAAGGAGGAGTGATTGAAGAAGCACATAAATTGGTAGATTTAATGATTCAAAGAGGTAAGCATCCTAACACAGTTACTTACAATAAAATGGTCCGTTGGCTGTGTAAAAATGGGGAGTTGCAGAAGGCAAATGTAATTACTTACGGTATCATTATTTCTGGCCTTTGTAAGCACGATGGTTGAAAAGGCAAAACAACTTTTCTTGGAAATGAAGAGTAAAGGAATTTCTCCAGATGAGAATGCTTATCCTCCCTACTTCATAGTTTCTGTTGTATGGGGAATTTGGAGGAGGCTAAAGCCTTATTCATCGAGTTGCTGGATGAAGGAGTGCGACCTAATGTGATAACTTTCACTGTTTTGATAGATTCACTTTGCAAACAATGGAGGTTGCAAGAAGCAAGTGAATTGTTAGACTTGATGATTGAGAGAAGTGAGCATCCAAATACGGTAACTTACAACACATTGATTGATGCACATTGCAAACAAGGGTGGATGGAAAAAGTGAATGCATTATTAGACTCAATGATTCAGAGAGGCCAGCATCCTGACACGGTCATTTTTAGCACGTTGATTGATGCACTTCTCAAAGTAGGGAGAATGGAAGAAGAAAATTCATTGTTTGAGTTGATGATTCAAATAGGTCAACATTGGAACACAATTACTTATAATATCATGGTCAATGGACCGTGTAGAGGTGGGCAACTGGGGAAGGCCAATGATTTTTTAAGCAAAATGGAGGAGAGAGGTTGCACTCCAAATGTAGTGATATTTAATACACTCATTTCTTTTTTCTCCAAAAACAAGGCAACCTCTGAAGTTATGAAATTTCTATGCATAATGGCAGAGAAAAATTTTTATACATAGAAAAATTTATTTCCTGATACAACAACCTTTTCCATTGTCTTAAGTTTACTCTCAAACTTGAAGGATAAAAAGTGTCAAGAACTTATGAACTTGCTCCCAACATTTCCTGCCGAGGAGCACCTAGGTAAATGATAGACAGAATCTTGGTTGGCAAGATTGATTTTTTGGTTGCATTGAATCATTCGATGGAATCAAGAAGAATTTTAGCAGAGGCTACTTTATTTGTTGGAGCTGTAAAGTATTCTCAGTCTGAGCCAAACTGGAGGTGATGCAGTTAATCTTTTCTGTGCAAGAAAACAAGAGCAGGGTCTGAGTTTGCATAATTCAATGGTTATGGTGCATGGTAATGTCAATTTACATGGAAAGAAATACTAAAAGCTTGAAATTGCAACCATTACATGACAACAAGGTCCGATGGACTCAAAAACTACTCTTCATTAATTCTGTTGAATGTATTAGTGTTCAATAGGACTAGATCTCATCTGTGCTTGGTGCATAGGGCTGATATGTTCTGCGTAGTGAACAAGAGGTGTCTGCAAATGTGATTGCTTTAATTTTTTTTTTTTCTTTTGGTTTCATCTGATTACTTTTTTGTTAGTTAAAGAAATGGATTTTCTGTGTTGTTTTTGCAGAATACTATTAATTGCTCCAGTGAGTGGAAGAAAAATTGTTCACAAAATATAGAACCTGGTTGAAGGTGAAGTGAAACATTTGAAGATGATTTCCCCTCCCCCCTTCTTTTCAGCCCACAGTTATGTTGTTG